CATAACCAGGTTGGGTAACAGGGATACAGAAAAGCCAAAAAAAACTGGTCGAATTCATCATGGGATTTCACCAGCTTATAGCTGGATGGTCAATGATGGCACAGGATGTAGCCTCTAACAATATGGTGTGCCATCATTGACCATCCAGCTATAAACATTATTGACCTAATAGTATCATTGACCAAATACAATGACCCAATAATAATATCGTCTAATCATATCTAATAATGATGGTCATGTTCACCGAATTTGACCTAAACATTGATTTTATATAACCAACAGTAGCCAATAATGACCCAACAACTATGACAATGACCAGCCAAGTTGGCGGCTATATTTTCACGGGATAATCTCTGCCAAAAAAACATCCCATTTGGAAGTTTGTCTGAAATTGGCTCCCAAGCCTGATGGTGAATCATCATTTTCATACTATGTTCATTTATTCTCCCAGTTCAGCCTTCGTGTGGGGCTACCCTCTACTCAAACGAAGCCGTTTTGTAACGGGAGATGATCCCAGCGAAGTTGCACCATCCTCCCAGAGTGAGTGAGTTCCATACTGTACCAGTATATTCCTAATCTATTCCACTTCCAAGACTTCACAGTATTTCACGCTTCACAATGTGTGATCCTGAAATCCAGCCAATACCCTCCGGTAAACTATATAACATGGCTATTGAAAATTGCCATAGAAATAGTGGATTTACCCATTAAAAATGGTGGATCTTTCCATCGTTTTTGGTATGTTTACCAGAGGGTAAATCCTCATTGGCCGGATCCAGCTCACCTGAAGCTCTTCAGGCGACGAACGAAGTTCAGAGCGATGGAAATCATGGGTTTGGCCGGAGCCAGCTCGAGGATCTCCTCATGGCTTAGTTTTGGCTATGTTGAATTTACTTGGCCCCAACATCTTCAAATATGCTACATATATGCTACATATGACTTATGTACTCTTCAAAATTTTGGCCCCAGCATCTCAAAACTATATGTGTAAATCCCAATTCAGCTAGCTGAAACAAACGTGTTTTGTCATCTCCCTCGCTTGTTTGCCATAATTTTGGTATAAATATATGTAAATTCTCAAGTTGCGAGACGAATCTATATGAAAATCTGTGAAAAACCATGGTTAATTGGTAAGATTGGTCTGGGTCAAAATTGACCCTGAAACATGTATGGGTGCGTCTGCAAAGGGTAGATTCATCGCCTAGTTATGGCCATTCTAACAGGGAAAATGATGATTGACCAGTGGATGGAACGGGGTTTTCCTCAACTTGTTCAGATAGCAATCCCAAATCTGGGTCCATGTACAACCCTAAACTTTATAATTTTATAACCATAACCTGGTTTTGTCCTGGTTTTCAACCCTAAACAATTTGGGATCCTTACCTGGTTTTTGTTAGGGCTGTCTTCACCAACCTAAGGACTCAAATCCTGAGTGTCTACCAATTGAGAAAAGTATTCCTCAAAGAAATTCCATGTTTCACAGGAGGAATATTGTTGTTAATAGATGGAAGTTCAAGATGGATAGCAAGAAAATCGAAGTTGTTGTTTTTCAAGTCTAAGTTTCTTGCCATCCATTCTCTAATTCCCATCCCCCTAATCTTTAAAAACGCATTTCTATGGTCCCATTTCTATGTGGTTTCATCCCCTACTAATAAAACAAAAAAACGATTTCTTGGGGTTGTTTCACATTAACGGGGCAAAGGACTATTCATTTATGAACCAGTATAATCCCAGTAAGCCACCATTACGGTCCAATTAGTCCCATTAAATCATCATGAAATTCCATTAAATCCCATTAAATCCTTTTAAATCCCATTAAATTACTATTATTAATGTTAGCTACCAATTAGTGTCATGATACCCTACTGTGAGAATTTTTCCAAAATAATCCAGTTCGCTAAAATAGGTAGGGGGAACTCTATTGTGTTCTTTTTCATTTTTTCAGTTTTGCTTTTCAGTTTTTTATTTTCAGATCCAATTTACTTTAGAAAACCACATTCATGTTGAAGCCTTAAAATGCAAGATTTTCCAAATAATTAGACTACAACTACAACTACAACTGCACTACACTACAACTACAACTGCACTACAACTACAACTCCTACAACTGCTTCAATTACTTCAACTACTACAACTGCATTTTCAACTACATTTCAACTAAACTACAAACACTACTACAACCACAACTACAACTACAACGACAGCTACAACTACAACATTACAACTTCAACAACATCAACTAAACTACAACCACTACTACAAGTACGACTACATTAGACTTCGCTACACCACAATACATCCTGCAGTTGTGGGTGAGGTGACCGCGGCATTCATTCCAAAAATAACAACCACCTTCGGTCCATCAGTGGATTCGCTCTGCCATCCGTGATTCACAACAACCAACCTCTCCTATAATTAGGTTTCCTATTTCTGAAACTTCCGCCACTGCCTTGTGCGGTACTACTGGTATGAACCATTCAAATGGTGGTTTAATCCCATTAATCCCACTAGATACCAGTTAAATCATCCAAATATTCATAGAATTACCCTTTGGTTATTTAACATAGCCATGGAAAATCATCACTTTTAATAGGTACATCATCTATAAATGGGTCATTTTCCATAGCTATGTAACAAATAACCAGAGGGTAACTATTCAAATCCCGTGATCCGATTCCCAAGGTATCATCCCATTCAACCACCATTCAAACCACCATTAACCCACCATTAACCCAGGCCCTCCTCGTCCACATTGTCCCCCGCGCCCACGCCGCCGAAGCTGCGCAGAAAGGCCCTCCGCCGAACGAAGGCCTGGCTGGCGATGCCCTACTTGACCCTCCAATCAAACAAGATCTGGTTGGTGGTTTCAACCTACCCCTCTGAAAAATGATGGAGTGAAAGTCAGTTGGGATGATGACATTCCCAACTGAATGGAAAAATAAAATTCATGTTCCAAACCACCAACCAGAGATATGTTTTTCTATGGAAAATGGCCCCCTTTTATAGATGTTATTTATTAAGAATGATGATTTCTATAGCATTTACCGAATGGTATGAGCCCATTGCATCTCATTGCATCAATGTCGACATTTCATTCTGAAGGGAGTTGTTACAAATACAGTATCATGTAAAACAGGTCTAGAACGTTGTAGAAACAGTTGATTTTATCTTGTTGTAAACATCAACACCATATATGTATCAAGTAGCTACTTCATAGTCTTCTATTTGATACAAGGTGGTGCCCCCCAATTCCAAGCTGTGTTGTTTTTCGACTCCATGAAAACTAGTTCGATATATATTTAGTCTATCATAAACCCAAGCGTTATTTCAACCAACTGTCGAAAAACCTACAGTACAGGGCACTACCTTGTAAACATGTTTTCATGCTTGAACCAGGGCCTACCATCAGTTTCCCAAAGCATCCACGTAGCACATCTTTTTTCGTCACGGTCGAATTTTGCGAGGAACGGCTGGCTGCCTCAGTCCAGAAGAAATCATCCTCAAATTGAGTAAGTTTATGGCAATCCCACCTTAGAGCTTCTATGAGGCGAGAACAGGGGCTCATAACTTACTTGGTGGTGCATCCATCTTAGTAACTGAGTTATAGCCCTAGTTATAAGTGGAGATTGCCCCTTCAAGTAATTATCCCATTAACAAAACCAGGGTGAACTAACCCACTTACCATTCGTGAGATCCACCAAATATACATGGGCCCTGTGACCTTGGTACATGACTCACAAAATCAGAGAATCATATGGGAGAAACCAGAAATGACTGGACTGAGAGGTGCAAGTGGCCTTCACACGAGACTACCATGCGGATTGTGTTATCATTTGGCATACATTTGTTTAACAGAACCGCTCGTGTTTTACAGTTTTCATGATGCAGCTACAGGCCGTCTCATGCTGGTACCCCATGGATGTCTTGCTAGAGCCTCTACCTACCAAACTTGGGCCAGATCTTATTTGGCAAATATCATATGTACATTATATACATGTACCCACATATATGAAGTGTATTTTAACCCATATTTACATATTTAATCATATTTACGTATTCAATTTTTCAAATATGGATATGTGATTTTAAAAAAAAACAAAACATGTATTGATCGACAGTCCGGATGATCTTGCCGCAGCAATCCAGTCACCAACAGTTCACAAAGCCCTAAGCTTGCCGCATCCACTTCTTTTTGCGTGCAGCTTTGTCAACGCAACGAGTCTTAATCTAACTTGGGAAGCTCTGCAGGCATCCAACAGTAAGATCCCTACGATCGGCCCCGGTTTGATCATGAGGTATTGTAACTTATTGTAACCCTGCTGGAAATCCCAAGTGTAACAACACGGATTTTACATTGTGGCGAAACATCATCCAAATCGAGCGGAAAATGTGTGGCGAGGCCCATCAAACCGGAGTCATGGAAAAACCGCCGCCATTTTAACGGGCGGCGGCTCGGAAGATACCCCTGGCGAAACCTTGGTCTCGCATTCTTTGGGTGCCCAGTTGGGTTACCTTCTCCGGCCCTTCCATCACCGCGGGAACCCGCATTGCCAGGATGCTCCCAGTGCGGTCAACCAGGAATAGCCATGGTGCGGAAAGCCCGCCCCGCTTCCAACCATCGAAGGATTGGGAAAGGATTGAGAAGGGTCACCCCTTTGGGCCATGCAAATGTACAGCTGGTGCCTCAGCTGCCTCCATACTTATCCAAGTGGGTTTATGTATAGCCAAGTCAATGTATAGTTAGGGTTTAGGCAGTTTAAATCTATCATGATATGATGTCTTTAGTTCATGGGGGTTCTGAAGCAACTTACAACCCCCAAGTATACCAAACAGGGGTCCATTGGGAACAACATTCAAGTTAAAAGTAGCTCTCACCAGACCACAACAACACGTGACCATAGACCATAGTTTGCCTTGATTCTGGTAGTTGTATCCCCGAAATATGGTTTATGCTACAGTCTAGTCCTATCTTCTATAATAAATATAATATAAATCCCAAATATATCTTTTGCAGCCTGAAATTTGCCATGGACCCCGGAACTCACATGGTGACCCCTCGCAGCAACGAACTCCTCGAGTTCAACAGGCGCACCACGGGCAGATGGCCGTTCGTCGTCGCCAGCTGCAACGCCGTGGCCCCGGTGTCCAACGTAGCCAGGGTGTCGTCCGCACCCGCTGCAAGCAGCAGAGCCACGCAGTGCACATGGCCATGGAATGCTGCGAAGAGCAAAGGGGTCCAACCTGCAGGGAAACTTTCACGGTGAAAAAACGAAACCATTTATGTATCATCGTGTATCATAATTTATCATCATATTTTATCAACATATCTTAATCGAATCATATTTATCATCATCTACCAGCATTAGTAGATGGTATTTGCATGAAAATCTCGGGTTTTGATGATTAATAACTTCCAACAAATACTGTCACACTTTCTTCAACATGAACGTGTGTAAAAGGGTAATGTACAGGCTGCGCAACCACAAGCCAACAATAAACACAGAGCAACAACACTGGTCAAAACACCAAATCAAGACCGAGCCAATCTTATATACAAATTTAATTTGTAGCTGGGTAATGAATATCCCCATTTGTGGCAATGCAAAACCAAAGTGTTTGAAACCAACCAAGTTTTAGCCAGACTACAGCACCCCGAAAAAAGCCACAGGATTGCGGTTGCATACGTCCCAAATCGTGCTCATAAAACCTTCATGATTGTGGCATTTTAGCTAACAATTCAATGCCAAAAAACATCAAAAAACGATTCCTTATACCCGAGGAGGCCACTTCCTAAAGCCTATGCCCAATGGGGCTAAACCTTGAAGCACGCAGATTTCCCACACGCGCCTTTAGCACGTCTATCCCGCACATCTTTCGCTGCACCCGCATCCAGCAACAACTGCATGGTCTCCACATGTCCGTAGCGGGCAGCATGGTGCAGCGGGCTTGTACCATCCACGTCCTGGTGGCCCTAGATAAGCCCTGGGTTCCTTTACCAGACTTGGGGCAGCATCTCAGTTTGAAAGTTGGCAAGAACATGGCCATGCGAGAACCATAGGGATACCCTAAGCCTGTATAGATAGATGAGTCAAAATTGAAGCCCCAGAAGGGATCCTGTGGTACCACAATATTTCTATGTATTTCTTAAATATTAACCAGCTAATTATTGGGGTACCCAACTTTGGCCCATACCCTTGTTGGCTTAAACTTTGGGGAGTGGGCTAACAAAACCACCGAATCACGAAAATCGCGGCTTACGAGGGATGCACATCTTGGCCAGGAAAGTGTGCACATGATCATTGACAAACCAATCCATACCTCGACCCTCTAGCTTCAATACTATGTGACTATGTGGTTTCAAACTTACCATCACGTAAATTCCCCTAAAGTATCCGAATACATTGGAAGTGTTTCCGTTTTTTGGAACTAAATTCCAAGGCAATTGAAGGGTATTTTGAGGGGCAAGGCAAAAATTGTCTGAAACCACCAGTCAGCATCTCTCACGTTGGGATTGCAGGGGCACTGAAGCAACTCTTCAAGCGCTTCGGAGTCATCGACCATTGAAGCAGCAAGCATCATTTCGTCTTCCTCCAGCTCCGGTTTCCGAAATTCCAACAAAATCAGCTGAACCCGCACGGCCGAGTGAAAGACCTCATCATCTGGGATTTCCAAGCCATCTTCCATCAAGAACCTCTGTTGAAAAATGGACACACCCATGCGAGCGGCAACCGCTTGTTTAATTTCCTTGGCAGTTTTACCTTCATAGTCATCCACAATCGCGAAAACCTCGCCCGACACGGCTGAGTAGATGCAACACATTTGTGCGCATTGAAAATCGAACTACATCTCTGGGGCTTGGACAAGAAGCACACCAGACACATGGCATCATAAGACTTCTCAAGATCACAAAAGTGGTAGTCAAAACCCTGTTGTTCAGACCAAAATAGTTGGGATTGATGTGGTAATTATTTATCCCCAAAAATATGTTTGCTTTCAGAATGTTTGATTGGTCCCTAAATCTGACAGGCGCACCTTGCCTGACGCACCAAATTGTAGGCGTCCATGGGAATCAAAAAAACATCACTTTGCAAAATGAATCGCTCGAATCTATAGAATGCATTCAATTACATTATCTGGTTGGTGAATCAGGTACTGTGAATCATCACCCAACACAATAATCTGGTTGGTGGTTTCAACCCCTCTGAAAAATAATCCCTTCCCGCTATTACTAAACGTCCCCCAAATACCTAAAACTAGGGTCCATCTCCAATTTTGGAAAATTTCAGATTGGCCAATTTGACTTTAAATCGATCCCCACAATTTAAAAATAAAGCTACCATTTGTGGGTTTTGCCCCCTAAGACTAAAAACTAGTTAACCCCGGGGTGTTTATTATTAGGGTCCGTCCGATTTGTTTTATTTAGTTTTTATTATTAAGGGTTTAAATTTATTAATAGGGTCTGCTTCGAAATCCAATTTTTGGCAATATTTTAATTGCGTTATATAAGGAAATTTAATTGATTTTGAAATCGAACAAACTAGTTTTTATTCTTAAGGGTTTTAATTTATTAATAGGGTTCCCTAATAATAAATACCCCCCTAATACTAAAAACTACCTGAGGTGTTTGTTAATAGGGGGGACGTTTAGTATTAGGGGGAAAGGATTATTAGTCAGTTGGGATGATTGTCCCATATATTATGGAAAAAAATGTTCCAAGCCACCAACCAGATTAAATTACAAGGTGGTGCCCCCCAGTTATAAGTTGGTTTATAATCCCATTAACTATAGATACATCACCTATAAACCATAGTTATTGGAGTTATAAACCAACTTAGCTATCTAGGGGGCACCACCTTGTACGATTGGCCATTTATACAGTTCCAGAATACAAGGTGGTGCCCCCTAGATAGCTAAGTTGGTTTATAACTCCAATAACTATGGTTTATAGGTGATATATCTATAGTTAATGGGATTGTAAACCAACTTATAACTGGGGGGCACCACCTTGTAGTCAACTAGGATCAAAAAAAACATGTGGAGACTCTGGGAGTCTGTGGGGACTGTGGGAGTTCATGTGATTGGGATTTGATGTGACCAGAAGCAAAACACACACAATTTCTAGGCACCCTGATAAAACACGATGTTTTTACCAAAAAAAAACGCAATGTTTTTCAAAATGGCATTTTGGTCAGTTTGGTTGGATTTCCACCACGCTTGTGATTAGCCACATTTTTCCATCGCCACTCACACTTACTGGCATACGCTGACATGGACGCCAGGCCCTTCAGAGGGATGGAAAAAATACAAAAAAAATCAGTACAGGTTAGTACGGGAAAATACGGGTAAACCGTACGGGCTAAAAATACGGCTTCTGAAAACATGATGGTTTCCTGTATATCCTGAAAATACGGGTTTAGTACGGGATAAATATGGGTTCTGTATGGGAAAAATACGAGGTCACTAACTTTCCGATCTAAAACCGTTGAATTCTTTTCAAATGTGCAAAATTGATTGATTCAAAAAGGCTTTTGAAAGCCACGCTTTTGGAGATATTCTGGGGAAAAAAAACTGATGGTTGTACCGTCAGACAACAGAAATCATGCCCATTTATGGCAAAAAACACAAAGCTTGGAAAAACACGGCTTTGAATGAAACAACCCTGCAAACGTACGTGAATAATATACTGAATTTGTGGGCCAACTTTGAAGATTTGAAGGGATCACCCTACCAAGCGAAACTTGAGTTTGTGAGTGAGACCTGCAGCCTTTCTGAGAAGTGGAAGGGATTGGTAAAAGGAGGTTTCATTCAAAAACACAATGTTTTTTGTTTAACCAAAACACGATGTTTTTGATTGTTTTTGACAAAGATCCTCGAAAACACGATGTTTGCATGAACGTACGCCAAATTCTTGGGTTATTGGTTCTTTTGGTCATGGTATTTCATGCGACTTAATGGGATTTAATGGAATCGATTATCTTAATGTTAGTAAAGCATAGTAAAGCAATAGGAAATCATCCCAAATTTACCATTACTGAGTATAAACCATCAAAATATAGGTGATGTGTTTTTAATTTGCTTTACCAGCATTAGAGGAATAAATATCGCACAATGATACGAAATGTTTGACTCAGAATTCCCTCGGCTAAGTGTGACGGGATCTTGGACCCATCAAATCGGGCAGTTTCAATGTCAACATGCAGTGGATGGGGATATTCAAAGTAGAGGATAATTTCTTAAGTGTGCCCCCAAATTTGGGTAGGTTGGTTTTGAACTCCATGATTCCATGATTCCATAACTGCTGGGTTTACATGGATCCAAAGATGAGATCCCAGGAGCCTCTACAAACGGGTCAAGTTGTTAGGCCACCGTGAAAAAAACTAGGTGTTTTTTCCAAAAGATGCGCAGCACATAGAGAAGCCCAATTTCACCCACATCACCAATCTAATTAGATAAATTATGATAAATTCATAGGAAAACCCAATATCTTGAGGCTGATAGTGCTGTTGATATCTGTTGATCATACAGGATGGGGTCCCCCAGTAATAAGTTGGTTTATAAACCATTATCACCCCCATTAACTATAGTTATCCGCCGACCCTGCCTTAGCCAAGGCAGGGGCGGCGCCTGGGACCACCGCAGGTGTGGAACTTTTTTTCGTTCCCAATGCTTTGCACTTTCCACGAGCCACCCAGGCCATAGCACCCTCTGTTCACCGCCCAGGAGCCACTCAGGCCACAGCAATTTCTGTGCACTTCCCACGAGCCACTCATGCCACAGCAATCTCTGTTTCTACGGCGTTCCAAAATGCAACAGGCCGCGGCAGACCTTTCCTGCAGCTCCAACAAGTCCCTGAGGCCCTGGCAGTGTCCTTTTAAGGAGGTTCAAGGCTGCCGTTTGCCAGCCCGCAAAACTCCCCAAACCCTCCCCTGCAGCTCCCAGGCGCCACTCAGGCCGCGGCAGACCTTTCCTGCAGCTCTAACAAGTCCCTGAGGCCGTGGCAGCGTCTTTTAATGGACGTTCAAGGCTGCCGTTTGCCAGCCCGCAAAACTCCCCAAACCCTCCCCTGCAGCTCCCAGGCGCCACTCAGGCCGCGGCAGACCTTTCCTGCAGCTCCAACAAGTCCCTGAGGCCGTGGCAGCGTCTTTTTAGGACGTTCAAGGCTGCCGTTTGCCAGCCCTCAAAACTCCCCAACCCTCCCCTGCAGCTCCCAGGCGCCACTCAGGCCGCGGCAGACCTTTCCTGCAGCTCCAACAAGTCCTGAGGCCGTGGCAGTGTCCTTTTAAGGACGTTCAAGGCTGCCGTTTGCCAGCCCGCAAAACTCGCCAAACCCTCCCCTGCAGCTCCCAGGCGCCACTCAGGCCGCGGCAGACCTTTCCTGCAGCTCTAACAAGTCCCTGAGGCCGTGGCAGCGTCTTTTTAATGGACGTTCAAGGCTGCCGTTTGCCAGCCCGCAAAACTCGCCAAACCCTCCCCTGCAGCTCCCAGGCGCCACTCAGGCCGCGGCAGACCTTTCCTGCAGCTCCAACAAGTCCCTGAGGCCCTGGCAGCGTCATTTTATGGACGTTCAAGACTGCCGTTTGCCAGCCCGCAAAACTCCCCAAACCCTCTCTGCAGCTCCCAAGCGCCACTCAGGCCGCGGCCGACCTTTCCTGCAGCTCCAACAAGTCCCTGAGGCCCTGGCAGTGTCCTTTTAAGGACGTTCAAGGCTGCCGTTTGCCAGCCCGCAAAACTCGCCAAACCCTCCCCTGCAGCTCCCAGGCGCCACTCAGGCCGCGGCAGACCTTTCCTGCAGCTCCAACAAGTCCCTGAGGCCCTGGCAGCGTCTTTTTATGGACGTTCAAGGCTGGCCACTCAGGCCGCGGCAGACCTTTCCTGCAGCTCCAACAAGTCCCTGAGGCCCTGGCAGTGTCCTTTTAAGGACGTTCAAGGCTGCCGTTTGCCAGCCCGCAAAACTCGCCAAACTCTCCCCTGCAGCTCCCAGGCGCCACTCAGGCCGCGGCAGACCTTTCCTGCAGCTCCAACAAGTCCCTGAGGCCGTGGCAGTGTCCTTTTAAGGACGTTCAAGGCTGCTCCAAACCCTCCCCTGCAGCTCCCAGGCGCCACTCAGGCCGCGGCAGACCTTTCCTGCAGCTCCAACAAGTCCCTCAGGCCCTGGCAGTGTCCTTTTAAGGAGTTCAAGGCTGCCGTTTGCCAGCCTTCAAAACTCCCCAAACCCTCCCCTGCAGCTCCCAGGCGCCACTCAGGCCGCGGCAGACCTTTCCTGCAGCTCTAACAAGTCCCTGCGGCCGTGGCAGCGTCTTTTTATGCACGTTCAAGGCTGCCGTTTGCCAGCCCGCAAAACTCCCCAAACCCTCCCCTGCAGCTCCCAGGCGCCACTCAGGCCGCGGCAGACCTTTCCTGCAGCTCCAACAAGTCCCTGAGGCCGTGGCAGCGTCTTTTTATGGACGTTCAAGGCTGCCGTTTGCCAGCCCTCAAAACTCCCCAAACCCTTCCCTGCAGCTTCGAGGCGCCACTCAGGCCGCGGCAGACCTTTCCTGCAGCTCCAACAAGTCCCTGAGGCCGTTGTCCTTTTAAGGAGGTTCAAGGCTGCCGTTTGCCAGCCCTCAAAACTCCGCAAACCCTTCCCTGCAGCTCCCAGGCGCCACTCAGGCCGTGGCAGACCTTTCCTGCAGCTCCAACAAGTCCCTGAGGCCGTGGCAGCGTCTTTTTATGGACGTTCAAGGCTGCCGTTTGCCAGCCCTCAAAACTCCCCAAACCCTTCCCTGCAGCTCCCAGGTGCCACTCAGGCCGCGGCAGACCTTTCCTGCATCTCCAACAAGTCCCTGGGGCCGTGGCA